TCCTTGTATACCTATTTCTTCTAATGTACACTTCATAAAGTCCCAGCTGACCCTGTCAAAGGCCTTTTCAGCATCTAAAGACAGGATCAGCATGGGACCTCCATTTGTTTGAGCTAAATCCAAGACATCTATTAATTTTCTAATGTTATTTGCCATTCTATCTGGCACAAAGCCTGTTTGATCCTGGTGGACCAGCTGTTTAAGAACTTTTTTTAGTCTTCCAGAAATTATAGAAGAGAATAACTTGATATCAACATTGATTAAAGAATCCTGGCTATGTTTGTATACTTTTTATTTAAAATTGTATACAGTGGGTAAGTATATTAGTACTTAGGCAATACTGTGCTTCGGAACTTCAGCACTTTGACACTTTGGAAATTCTGCAATTTCGGGACTTCTGCAATTCGGGAATTCTGCAATTCAGTTACTCGGACACTCGGAAGTACCCGAATGTCCAAATGGCCTGAAATTCGTCCAAATTCCCATTTGGACCGAAACGAATTGCACATGTCTAGTTCTGAGACAGTATATGAGCTGCAAACTGGAATCTAGGAGCATATATATACATATTTTTCTATATTTTTTCCTTTTCTTTTTCCTGTAGGGTCTATCAATTCATAGTTTATTTGCACGATAGAACATTGTTTTCAATGTGTGATACCTTAAGATATTCTCTTTTAAATATAAGAATAAAAACAAGTTTTAAATCTTATTTTTTTTATATACTTTTTTTCATCTATAGATATCTGTAGGCAATGTTCTAGTTCTCTCTTAAAGGACCACTCTAGGCACCCAGACCACTTCATCTTAATGAAGTGGTCTGGGTGCCTGGTCCAGCTAGGTTTAACCCATATTTTCATAAACATAGCAGTTTAAACTGCTATGTTTATGAATGGGTTAAGCCTTCCCCTATTTTCCCTAGTGGCTGTCTCATTGACAGCCACTAGAGGCGCTTGCATGCTTCTCACTGTGATTTTCACAGTGAGAGCACGCCAGCGTCCATGGGAAAGCATTATGAATGCTTTCCTATGTGACCAGCTGAATGCGCGGCAGCTCTTGCCGCGCGGGCGCATTCAGCTGACAGGGAGGAGAGAAGGAGGATCGGAGGAGGAGAGCTCCCCGCCCAGCGCTGGCGAAAGGTAAGTTTTAACTCCTTTCCAGAGCCGGGCGGGAGGGGGACCCTGAGGGTGGGGGCACCCTCAGGGCACTATAGTGCCAGGAAAATGAGTATGTTTTCCTGGCACTATAGTGGTCCTTTAATGCCATAATTTACCTCTTCCATAATAAATGTACCCACACTTGATATTTTTTCAGGAGAAACAGGGATTTCACATCACATATTTATATATGAAAAGTGAATATGAATGAAACCGTGTGAAATATTAAACGTTATTTTCCATGGCATTTTATAATACTCTTAGCTTTTACTGCAATAAATCACACATTTCAGTGCTGTGATGTCCCACGAGTACAACTATTCCCCCATGTTCAGGATTCATGATATTTTTGAAAGTTACAGAGTCAAATAAAGAGCTTGCGTGTTTCAGTTTTTACGTGTTGAAATCTTCCAGATTGTTTGCTGGGCCTATGTTGTCTTTGAGACCATATGGCAGCACAGCAATGAGAACAACCCATATCTTGGCATATTATTTGCAAAAGCACACAACCCAGGGTATTTATAATGGGGCATGTCCAGTCTATTTTAGTATACTGCCACTTAGTCACAAATCCTGGCCAAATCAGTGTTCATTTATTACATTTTTTTAATTATTTGAATTTTTCACACAAAAACTACATTCACTGATATCGTCCATAGCCCAATTCCGCAATACATCCACAACAAAGCCACTTCATTTCTACACTGCAACTTTGACACATGGACTGAAATTTGGAACATACACTACCGGATTTATTTCACCTTTGTTACATTATTACTTTGCTATAATAATGCTACCATTTTAACCTATAGTTTACTACTGTAATATGTTGTACCTTCAATTAATCTAGTTAATATTTTGGCAGATTGAATTCAGTTGGCAATGGCATATAATTTAAATAGTATACAACAAAATCTCTACTGTCATTAACTCCCCACCGCTTGCCCTTCCTAGTTGTAAATTCCTTCAAGTGACTGTATCTCTGTTCCTTAGGCCCAATTTCACAATCCATCTGCAACAAAGCCACTTTGTTTCTACTCCACTCTACCCACCCTGGTTCCTTCTTACTATATAGCATTATCTTTCAGGTGTTTGGTATCATAGTCAATCACCTCCTCATGTTACCAATTACCGCAATTATACTATTCATTCTCTCTGCCACCAAATTGACAGGTTTTTATTTTGTTTTTTGTGGGAACAAGAGGTACAGAAAATAAGCGGGAGGGGAACACCAAGTGTTATACAGTACATCCAGTATACTTGACATATTATACGCAGGTGTTAGATTAGTTGCGGCATTTACTTTGTATGTTACACAATTTCCCTTCAACATGGTTTGGCTGTTGTTTGGTACAGAGTAAAAAGGAAGGGTGTCAGAGTGCGATGCCTAGTCCTGTTGCCTTACTATCATCCCCTAGGACTGCTCGCATCTCGTCAATTGTCTCCCGGTCCGGAGGATGGTACAGATGTTAGGTGGACTATGTAGTTTACTGTCAGGTATGGGTGACCTCTTGTGTCTGGACATGGGTAATTACACCTGTAGCTGTGTGTCTTTGTTCGTTGGTGTAACCACTCCCCCCAACCTTGTCTATACAACTATTTACAGGTATATACAACATGGGTACTTGCAATTTTGGGTCCGCAGGACCTTTGTGTTTCAGCGAAAGCTGGAGTATGTGAGAGGTGATTCGTGGTGTACTGCTGCGGGGTGGGCTTTTGTCGGTACTGGGACCTGTATTTTTTTTATTAATATATTTATTTATGTTCTAACTATGTCCTGTATTGTGTTTCGTTCTAAGTAGCTTCCCCACTTTTCCTTGATGTCGTTTATGTGTTTCCCTGATCTGAGGTGTTTTCATGCCATTTGCTTGTAGTCTAAGTTAGTTGAGATTTGTTGTATCAGGGCTCCCCATGTTGGGGACTCCTCCTCTTTCCATGCTCTTGCTATCAGTGTGACTGTTGCTATCAGTACATTGAACACTAGTGTGGAGTCATTGTGGTTGAACTCCTGTAATCCCATAAATAGGAGCCCGTGTTCGGGTGTAAGTGCAAAGTCCTTATGTGTTAGGTCAGCAAGTAGATTCTCCACGTTGGTCCAGTATGGTTGGAGACGCGTGCACGTCCACCAAATGTGGTGCATTGTGCCCCTGGTCGTGCCGCATCTTCAACATCTGTCAGTAGTTCCAGGGGCATATGCACGCTAGCCGTTCTACCTCTCTTGGAATGGTTCTGAATGGAACCCTGCGTTTAGTACTTGGGCTGTCGGTGTTTTGTATAGTGCCTCTACCGCTGAGAGAAATGGACCTGGTACTCCAAATTTGTGCATGACCACCTCCAGGAACTTCCAATGCAGACGGTTAAACGCTTTCTCTGCATCTAGGGATACTAGAAGTCCTCCCTCTGTCCCCATTCTGTCAAGGCAATACATTATGTCCAGAACCTTACGAGTATTTTCTGGCCCCTGTTGACCATCCACGAAGACCACCTGATCTCTATGTATCAGATGAGGCAGTAAAGTACCCAGCCTAGTGGCCAACGTTTTCGCGAAGAGTTTTGCGACGGTATTCAGCAGTGAAATTGGCCTAAAGTTTTGGGGGTGGGTGGGGGGCTTGCCTTGTTTGGGCAGGGTTATGATGTGTGCCGCAAGGATGTCTTCATGTAGTGACTGGTTCGCGATTGCGTCCCAAAAGGTGTTAGCGAGGTGTGGGGTCAGGACTGTGGCAAAGTTTTGTCGTACAGGTTGTCAAACCCGTCGGGTCCAGGCGATTTGCCCAGGGGGAGGGCTTTGATCACAGCCGTGATCTCGTCCTCTGTTATGTCGTCGGTGAGTGTTTTGCTTTGCTGTTGTGATAGTTTAGGAAAGTCCATCGTGGCTGCAGCGGAGCTCCCTGTACCCCGGCTGGGTACCTCCGCCAAAGGACCGCTTCCTAGCTGGAACAGGGAACAAACCGCAGCACTTCTGCCCACAGTCGCCGTGGCTGGACTGGGGCCCTGGAACCGAATGGGGCCTGTGATATAATTACTGAACACAATGGGCTGATGTAATTATCACAGGCAGGAAAATACAGTTTTTATACAATTCTTATAACTTCTAAAATATCCAATCCAATCTCCATAAAAGTTACATATTAATAATCCGCACACTTCAAATATACACATATCCAAAAATCAGACAATTCCCTTCAGTGGTTAAAAAGTTACTTGGAAGTCCTTTTTGACCGACTGCAAGCATGGCTTTCCTGGGTGGACTGGGGCCCTGGAACCGCTCCTTCCTGGAGCCGAATGGGGAATTAGCTCCAGTCCTTACAAGGACTTTCCCCGTGGAATCTCCTGCAAGCTGGAACAGCAGACACAGGAGCAAATCTTCTTCCCTCCAATAGCAGGACGACACACAGTTTTGGAGTGTAAGCAGGAACAGACAGAGCTGTGGCTTTATTGTTTCTTATATACCCATTTTTACACAATGTTACCACCCACATGGTTTTGGGTTTGTCCCCTCCTCCCCTTTGCCTGTGATATAATTACTGAACACAATGGGCTGATGTAATTATCACAGGCAGGAAAATACAGTTTTTATATAATTCTTATAACTAAAATATCCATCCAATCTCTATAAAGTTACATATTAATAATCAGCACACTTCAAGTATACACATATACAAAAAACAGACAATTCCCTTCAGTGGTTAAAAAGTTAGTTGGAAGTCCTTCTTGACCGACTGTTCGGGCTGTGCAGCCGGTCGATCTGCTCCTCTGTCCTGGAGATAATTGGCTCAAGTAACTGTAGTAAACTCAATTATCAAGTAACTGTAGTAAACTCAATTATCATTTTGTTGCTGGTGTGGGGGCTTTTCTTTTTGTGAGCAACAAGACTCAGTCCATTTAGTCTGAGTCTCTACAGGCAGAAGGGGGTTTCTCACATACATATACCCCTCTATCTTAACTGGGATGTTTGCTGGGGCTTTATACCCCTATTTCCTCGCCCACTGTGCTACTCAGCTTTTGCCTCTCTCCATTTTCCCCTGAACTTATCCATTTTTTTTTTCATTTTCTGTGTATCCAGAGACCATAGAATATAACCTGGTAGACCAAAGGCAAAAGTTAGGAGAGGTACCAAAAATCCTGGTGATGCGGCTGTCCTCACTGCTAAAAACCCTGGTCCGAGCAGACCAGGTGGGCTTCGTCCTGAGCCGCCAGCTTTTTGAAAATACAAGACGTAACATAGATTTGATATGGAGGCAGACCGTGGAAGGTGAAGTGTCCCTGATCCTGTCTTTGGACGCAGAGAAGGCGTTTGACAGGGTCAGGTGGCCGTACCTATTCGCACTGCTGTCATGGCTAGGTCTCCCTGCTCCCTATGTCTCAGCAATACAGGCAATGTACACAGACGCTAGAGCACAGGTCAGAGTGGCCGGCGCGCCCAGCAACCCTTTCCGCCTGGGAAAGAGAACAAGGCAGGGATGCTCCCTGTCCCCGCAGCTATTCATCCTAACGCTAGAACCACTACTCAGCAAGATTAGGTCCCATCCGGACATCCACGGGGTGGCGGTGGGAGGAGAACAATTTCTGGTATCCACTAATGCAGATGACATCCTCCTTACCCTAACGAGACCCACTGTCTCCATGCCGGCTTTGACCCAGACCCTAGAGGAATATAGCATCCTATCGTGCTATAAAGTCAACCTTGGCAAGTGCTGCGCCCTCCCACTCAACATGACAGACACTGACACGAGCGATATCACCACAACACATCACATTCAGATCTCCAGCAAATCGATCAAATACCTGGGCGTACAATTGAGAGCTGACCCGAAGCAACTGTATACACAAAACTATATACCGTTGTTCCAATCACTGATGAGGGACATGGACAATTGGGTTGACAAACCGATCTTGTGGATTGGAAGGGTACATTCAATAAAAATGAATGTACTCCCACGTCTGCTCTTTCTGTTCCAGGCACTCCCGATTCCGATCACTAAGTAGGATCTTGCACCGTTACAGAAAGGGATTGGAGGCTTCATATGGAACAATACAAGACACCGGATCTCACGTAACACTCTCTATCGATCGAAAGCCACTGGAGGACTAGGACTACCCAACTTATTTTACTACTATGTAGCCGCACAGATTTCTCAGGTAGCGATGTGGCACTCGCCCCCTGGGGAAAGGAGGTGGGTGGACTTGGAGTAACTGTTGAGGGGGTCAGATCTACCACAATTCTATATTTGGTTACGCAAAACACAGAGAGCTATTCTACGTACCGAGTGTCCAGCGATCCTTAACTCCATACAGATATGGGATAAATATGCACAGAGATATAGCTTAACGAAGCTTCCCTCCCCAATGCTATTCCTATTTAGAAATAGAGCCTTTCACCGGGGATGAGGGCCAAAGACTTTAAGAATCTGGAACAGGCGGGACTTCAAAGACTATGCCACATATACACAGACGACAGAGTGGTGTCGTTTGATGAGCTCTCGGAGAGGAGAACCCTTAGACCAGGGGACTTCTTCCGCTACTTGCAGCTTAACCCCTTAAGGACACATAACCTGTGTGACATGTCATGATTCCCTTTTATTCCAGAAGTTTGGTCCTTAAGGGGTTAAAGACTATGTAAGCTAACCCCAAATACAAGAAACCGCGGCTCACCAAATGACAGGATTTGACCGAATTTGCCTAACTGAAATTATCCCCCAGGGTATGATCTCCTTATTGTACTCACACTTGGCATACAACACCACTGAATGGGGCAAACTGACATATACAGAGAAATAGGAGGCTGATTTAGGGGAGACACTAGAGGGCACAAATTGGCAGGAGATATGGTAGGCTGACTTAGGGAAGACTCTAGAGGGCACAGATTGGCAGGAGATATGGGAGGCAAATGGAATGCAAAAGCTGTCTCAGTATGTACAACGCTTCAAGAACAAACATACAAGACGATGTTTCGGTGGTATGTGACACCGTTACAATTGCACCGCATGGGCAACACCCCCAGCAACCTATGCTGGAGGATGTGCGGGATAAAGGGGACGTTCATCCACATGTGGTGGGAGTGCCCGGTAGTAGGGTCCTTCTGGAGACAGATGTGGGGCCTTATAGCAAAAATTTTCCAACGCAATATTGAGATTCATCCATGGGTGTTCCTCCTATTCAGACCCAAAAATGACTGGAGCAAACTGGAACAACGACTGCTAAACAAACTCACACTTGCGGCCAGACTGGCGCTGGCACAGAACTGGCTTAAGCCGGACACACCACCTATGACCACTGTCATTCATAAAACACATGAAATTTGTCTTATGAACAAATTGACAGCTATCACAAGCAAAATTTTGAAAAAATTCGAAAAAACATGATACCATGGTTTCAGTGGGATGGGAGCGATTACTGGGACGGGGACTCCCCTCCCCTGCCTAACCACTCCATTCGAGATGGGACTTTTAGGTCCGGGATTTGGGACCCGGCGCCTCCCTTCTTCTTCTCTCCCCCCCGCCTCCTCTTTGTCGCCTCTGCCCTGTCTTCCCCTTCCCGCCTGATTTCCTCTGCACCTTCTCTCCTCTTATGTCATGCGGTATCTCTTCCGGGTTTGGCACTTCTGCTTTGCGGAGCTGACCCCGCCCCCTTCTGACGCGGATCTGACAGTACTTAGGGAGACCGCACCAGGGAGAAGGTGCTTGGTGATTGTGGGACCTACTTCCGGGTATACACACCGGCTCCACAAGCTCTGACAAGCCGTCCCAGCCTTTGAGCCAATGCAAGGATTGTTGCATGCCATAGAGGATTACTGGAGAACGGATACTTTGCTAATTTACAAGTGGACTATAACTCTGAACTCTTGGAGGACAACTCACCTTAACCTTAAGTATATCTTTCAACTATTGTCTGCAATATCATTTATTAATGAACCAATTCCTGCTTGCTCAAATCTTCTCTACTTCAAGTTACTAATTACATGGAGGACAACTCCCATCATGCTTATTTACTATGAACTGTTTCTTGCTTTGCAAATACTCTCTGCTACCTGCTTAATGTTTCTATTGAAGATTATTCCGAGCAACCTAAAGAATCTTATTTAATACTTATCTGAGGAAATACTTATTAATGAACTTTGTATTGTTGGATAACCTGCACTTTCTTCTTATTGGATTATTGCCTATATGCAATTCATTTAAGTTTATCAATCATTAAAATTTCATTTGATTCTCAAATTGCCAGCAATCCTGTTTTCTTAAAGCTACAGTATTGATACTTTTGAAAATGTTTCATTTCTTCACTATTGTAATTAAGGAGTTCTACAAGCTGCAGTTGAGTTCCAATCCAAATAACCCAAGTAGCATACCATCTTACTGGTATGGGTTGGCTCCTCGTAGTGGAGTATAGATCCACTGCCCACGCGATCCTATCGGGGAGACCATCTCAGACTTTTAGAAATATTCAGAGAACACCTGGACTCCCGCATAGGGTGAACATCCACAGTATACCACAAGCTTAAGGGCTATTAGGCTGAGGTGTCGAATCACTGCAGGTGAGCAAGATTGCAAACAAAGCGCTACACGAGGGTCTAGTTGGGCACACACAAAAGACAATAGAGCCGCTTAAGCCAGTGATACAGCCAAAACAAAATGGGAAAGGCATACCCTCTAGGCCACCTAGTCACAACACACAGCCTTTAACAGTGAAAGGAACAACGGCCTTGCAACCGTGGTGGCCACTGAGGGCCGATCACCGACATTGGTATCCATGAGTATTGGTATTACACCTGGCACAGGACCAACCTGTTGTCTTGTATGCCGACACGGGTATGTGGGACCTGCTATGCCTCTGTATTACAACGGAGATCGTAAGCTCCCTGATGCCTGCTCCCCCCCCACCTCCACCTTTTTCATTCCGTAATTCGACCGTAAAGGAATAGCAATAGTATGCATGGAAGGCTGTTTAAAATAATGCCAGCTACACAACACGCACTAGGGATGCCCCATTATTGTCTCTTGAAGATTTAGAGGATTTTTTTTTTTTCACTGCTATCCCTGTCTACCCTTTCTCCTTTTACAACTAGCTGTTCCTGTTCCCTGTGTTTAGGGATTTTTTGCTGCCTTTTCTACCTGCTATTGGACCTTTTTCTTTCCATACTAGGCTATTATTAGCCAGTGTTAGGTTTTACTTCCATTATCTGGCAACAGTAATTAGGTAGGATCAGGCTTCTATTCATTACTGCTATTCAATCCTATCTCGTTAATACCATATATTTTTCTGACCTGATGTAGTACGTATTATCTAAGCACCTAGTACCTCTCCTAACTTTTGCCTTTGGTCTACCTCAGTATTTTCAGTATCATTAACCCCTTAAGACCGGAGGGCATACTATTACGCCCTATTTTAAGCGGCTCTAAACGCCGCCGGGCGATCGCGGTTGGGGGGACTCCCAGGGAGCCCCCCGCGGCACATCCTACCCCCTGGCAGCCCCCCCGGCCATGTGAGAGTGAGGTCCTTGCGAGGACCTCACAATCACATGGCCAGGATAGCTGGCTTCTGTATTGCCAGCAGGGGGACTGCCTGTAATGACAGGTGGTCCCCCTGCTGGCTGGAAATAAAATAAAATTAAAAGTGTGACGAGCTTGGCAGGCAAAACGCGCGCGTCAGGGGCAACACGGCTTTTACTTGCCGTTTTTCTCTTATCATAGACTACTCTTATTTGTTGTTTTCTCTGATTTTGTGGCAGTTAGATTTTAGTGGGGTGAGCTTCAGGTGCCCTCGAAGGCACGGGGATGGAGTGTCAGCCGTAGTGCTAGCTCTTTCTACTATTACCAGTCAGTGTTAGACACTTTGTATGTCATAGCCGTCTTTCCATTCTAAGATACCGAGCATTAGCTTAACTATTCCATACTCTACTCGTTCATTTTTTACTTTTTATTTCTTACTCCTTATTTATCAATTTTCTTTACTTTTTTGCTTTATTTTTACTACCTTTTGAGATATACCTCCGGTCGCTACACCATTTGATATTACAGTACAACATAGTACAGTGATATTTGTTACTATTTCAGGGATGTACCCTGATTACTTAAAGACACATATCTTTATAGCACCAGCTGAATACTGTTGAGAACCCTTATTTGCCGACATACATATACCGTATGTTGTAGCTTACGAATGTGTTATTCATATATACTAATTCACATTGATTAGGCTACTCAGGCTGCACCATTCGTTTGGAGTATTTACAATCTATCAATTTTCTTTACTTTTTCGCTTTATTATTTTTTCTATCCTTTGAGCTATACCTCCGGTTGTTACACCATTTGATATTACAGTACAACATAGTACAGTGATATTTGTTACTCTTTTTGCTACTTAAAAGATACATACCTTTATAGCACCGGCTGAACACTGTAGAGAACCCTTATTTGCCGACATACTTAGACATATACCGTATGTTGTAGCTTACGAATGTGCTATTCATATATACTAATTATACTGATTAGGCTACTTAGGCTGCACCATTCGATTGCAGTATTTACAAGTATCTCTCTACTCATTGTAATTGGCATCTGTATATTCTCCCCCCTCTCTCTTTTTGCGCAGACGTGCGCTATTATTAGGTCAACGCACATAAACTCAAATCAGAGTCTATTTTATACATATACCAACATTCTGTTACGTTCATTTTTTAACAATTATTTATCATTTAATAAACTTGTTTTTTGGACCCTGTGGTCCTTTTAGATGAGCCTGTACCTTATACATTTAGTATCAGGCCCTGACTAGTCCTCTCCCTACCTTAAAGGTACACATTCTTTTTGTTTTGTATCCATTTTCACTAGGGGTTACCCCCCTCTCTTTGTGTACCTTGGCTGTATTTCAGACTGTTTGGATATGTATGTGGTTTTGCTGATAAAATTCCCCTGACTAGGGCCTTGTGCGCAACACATAGGGTGCTGGGGGAGATTCCCGTGTGTCATTCTCTACAAAGTAATGTTGGAGTGCGCTCAAGTCTTGTGTAAATGTTGTGTCATGTAGCATTGTGGATTGGATTCTCCAGGGGCTCTGGTGTGTAAAGTCATATTGGTCTTTCAACTCCAGCGTGACTGCTGCATGGTCTGACCACGTTATGTTCCCCATGTTGCACTGTTACCTGAGTTAGGGCCGTTCCGTGCATCAAAAACCTGTCTATCCGGGAGTAGGAGTTATGCACTGGGGAGAAGAGGATATATGCACGTTCGTCCTTAATGGTGGGTTTTGCACTATAGGATCAGTTTGTTTTACTGACCCTATAGTGTTCCTTTAAAGTAATGTTTCTCTCAATGAGTGGTAAGTAATATGCCAAGAACGTCACCGGACCCTCTGAGCCTATCAGCCGATGTCCCTCAGCACTGGAACATCACACGGAGAGCGCATTAGGATCTCCGCATAGTAAATCATTGCTCAGGGCAATTTCCTACCTCTTGAGTTTAGCTCCACTGATTAAACACAACAAGGAAGTACCAGAAGCTCTTGTCTGCTTGACAGCAAATGGTGTAACCAGGTACATTTCTAAAAGTGCAAATTTCTATTGGAATCTGCAGTTTGTAAAATTGGAGGGGATTTCATATATTTCTTTTTCACTTTTGCTGCAGCTGTAATTGCCCTCTCAGTAAGTGCATCCACTATAAGATTTTCCTTTAACACTTAATACTAAGTAGGAAAGAAAAATATGAAAATGTTTACCATCCTACAAGAGTTGATTTTTTTGAAATGACCAATGCTTAGAAATTTCAAGTGGTTAAATCTTACAATTAACTTATTACAAAATAAAAACAAATTAAAGGGCAGCCATTGAGGCAGTGTCAAAACTTATCCCTAGGTTTTTCACCACTGAACAAGTCTGGCTTGGCAGACGTCTTGATTACAGTAATCAAGAAGTATAAAAAAAAGAGCAAATCTGGTCATTGTGAACATTGAAAAGCAGGGAGGAGATTGGAGTTTTGCAACAAAACCAGAATATGAGAACTCCAAGTACGGAAAAAATGTTAGAGGAACTCCGTAGCTTGCCGCTGACTCTTCGGGTCCCCTGCTTGGAATATTCACATACACCTCGACACACCACATGATTGGTGTTGCTTAATTTGTCTTTAATAATGTTTTTTTTACGTACTACAAATAGGGCTTGACCTTAAAATTATTGCGTCTCATAGACAATTAAAATAAGTGAGTTATTGAAGTGGGGGCTACAATCTCCTTATGTGATGTATACTATTGTACTTATATTTGTTGAATTTTTGTTAAAAAGCTGTACTTTTATGTACATTATGCATTTCAACAAACTAATTTCTGACTGAATTCCCTTCAATATTTACTAAAAAGACATTTAGTCTGTATTTTAATATTTTAAATTAATGGCATTTTGAAGTTAGACTAGTTATTAGGTTCATTGCTGGGTGATAATCACATGCTCTGTTAGATATACCGTGTTTGTTTTATTTCAAGAGTTGTTTTTTTTCCTTGAATCCATATTCACACGGGCCGCCGTGCTGTCGTGTATAATTTCGTGCGAGGTCCTGGATTACGATCACAGGGAGTGTCAAATTAAAGGGACACTATAGTCACCTGAACAACTTCCACTTCATGATGTTGATCAGGTGAGAACTATAGCTCCCTGCAGCCTCTCTCAATTAAACACTGTATTTTCTGAGAATTTTTTTTGGTTTCTGAGAAAATACAGTGTTTACATTGGTAGCTAGGAACACCTCCAGTTGCAGTCACTCAGAGTGAACCAGAGGGACTTCCAAATTGATGAATGCCTAATTCACATTCATCACATTTGACGTCTTCACGTATAGGGGAAGGCAAACAGGCCATCAGCAGACAGGAAAGAGGAGGCACGGTGAACGCGCCTCCTATGTCCTGTAGTAACACCAGAGCCTGTCAGCAATGAGATCTCCTGAACACAGCGTCGGCTCGAGTCGACAGGCTGAAGACCTGAGACCGAGCAAGAGGATCCAAACCATAAAACGTATTTTGTGAGTGAATGCCGCTCTATGAAGACCCTGACTGGTGCAGTGCGAAGCTGTGCATGCGCACCAGACCATATTAAAAAAAGGCTTGAATTTAAAAAATTTTAATGGGAAGTTCATATAAAAGCAAGAAAGGCGGCTAGGGGACCTATCATCCTAGCCTTTATATGCTGACTATAGTGATCCTTTATAGGATTAGACTGACACCCCCTTCGCATGTATATTTAACCCCTTAAGTACCAAACTTCTGGAATAAAAGGGAATAATGACATGTATTCATGTGTCCTTAAGGGGTTAAACTGATTTATGGTTGTTACATCAGGGACTTTGAAGAGACAACATGGTCCCGAGCACGCAGCCCACCTGCATCTAATTGCAAACTCAGGACTACTGCTGGACTCCAGCAATCATCTAGAGATTACCTCCAACATTTATCCCCCATGGACTTATCCATTTGATCAGGACCGATCTAAATAGTGGGAAATCCAGCCTTTACAACAATTTTTTTGCCTTTTTTCTTTAGATTTTTTTTTAATCTAATTTATACCTATACATCCATCAAATGGACTTGATATTCCACAGATATTTTTTCAGTAGCTTATGAGTACATATACTCCTACTTTAATGAGTTAGAAGGTGGAGTCAATACCAGTTATGCTCTGTACGAATCACCATTGGATTTCTTAATGAATTTCTATTCAGCTGTTCTACTATATGAGCTATAGTTATATATCAGTGATTTATGGGCTTTAACAGTGTATGTAAACTTTGTCCCCTTTCCATTTTAAATGGGAATATACGTTTTGTATTTTTATATATTCCAAATATACTTTTTTTGCATCATTTTGAGTGCAGTATTTACTTAAGGACCACTCCAGCTTAATGAAGGGGTCTGGGTGCCAGGTCCCTCTAGGATTAACTTTTTTTTTTAATAAACAGCAGTTTCAAAGAAACTGCTATGTTTATAAATGGGTTAATCCAGCCTCCAAAGCCTCTAGTAGCTGTCTCATTGACAGCCGCTAGAGACGTTTGCGTGCTTCTCACTGTGAAAAATCACAGTGAGAAGACACCAGCGTCCATAGGAAAGCATTATGAATGCTTTCCTATGAGACTGGCTGAATGCGCACGCAGCTCCTGCCAAAGAGGAGAGCTCCCCATCGGCGCTGGAAAAAAGGTAAGTTTAACCCCTTTCCTTTCTCCAGGGCCCAGCGGGAGGGGGTTCCTGAGGGTGGGAGCACCCTCAGGGCACTATAGTGGTCCTTTAATATTTTTGGAGGTTTTGACAAGAGGGCAACCTCAATACCTGCACCTATCCCCTTGCAGAGTGGCACATCTGTTAACTACACTTTTGTTTTTCGTGTGAATCAGTGGTTCCTTTGAATACATCAATGTAATCAGACAAACAAATCTACATCATTTTCACACATTCTAGAAGGTCTTTTTGCCAAACATTTTAGTTGTTTCCAATAGTCGAGAGGGAGAAAAAAAAAAAAAAAAATCAAAAAAAATCTTGAGTTAACTACAACTGTTCCAATGTATAGTCTAACATGCAGATCTACTTCTCTGCAAGAAAATGGCTTTACAGAGACCAGATAAATGGAATTGAATTTTCCTTAAACCAACTATTAGTCTTAATAGCATTCAGTTTCACATGGCAGCAATAGGTGTCCACAGTGCTGCCAGCAGGGGAACTGCCTGAACTGACAGGCAGTCCCCCTGCTGGAAGTGAAAAAAAAAAAAAAAAAAAAAATAGATTATATATCTCCTATATACACTTTAATATTTTGTTATTTTTTATTTTAAACTTTCACCAGCAGGGGGACTGCCTGCCTATATCTATATATTCATGCTAAGTGTATTTTATCAATATATTTATATTAACAAAATTACACTTCGAGTAAAGTTACATATATAAAAAAGTAAAAAATATACATATGTCCATACAATTAAATATACACGTAGACTTCAAATATGTATATATTTTTAAATTCTACGTGCATATTTATGTAGTATTTTTACATAATTAATTTTATTGATTGCAATTTGAGCAACCTACCTGACAACCCAGGCCAAAAGTCCAGAGAATTTAATTTGCTAGCACTGTATTTAACCCTGTAATACACAATGACACCCTAAAACCTGTACATGAGGGGGTACGGTTTTACTCAAGAGACTTCGCTGAACACAAATATTAGTGTTTCAAAACAGTAAGACATCACAGCGATGATAGTCAGCAAAAGTGGCTTTTTTTTGCATTTTTCACACAGTGGCACTTTCACTGAGGATATCATTGTTGTGATACGTTTTACTGTTTTGAAACACTAATATTAGTGTTCAAAGTCTCTGGAGTATAAGTATTTTGTTGGAGATTAGGAGTATGCATTGATAATAGGAAATAAATGTAAAACCTGCTCACAAAAAACAGTCACTAAGAAGAGGAAGGCATTGGCAGGTCCTGGAGCAGTTAAAAACCCAAGAGTTAAGACTGGTGATTGCGGGACTTGTGCTGCACTCACTTTTACAGTCATGTATCAGCACATGCTTGTTCTGGAATTTTTTTTTTTTTTATGGTTTGTGAGGATTGGAATATAGAAGTTGGCAAGAGACATTTAGGAAGACTTGTACGACCAGTCACTTATAGCACCAACAAAACTTTGCAGCACTTGATACACTGACATAAATAGGGTTATTCACTAGAGTGAAACAATTCAAAGTGAATTTTGAGGCAAATGTGAAGAGTGAAGCAAATTTAAGGCCAAAGTAGCTAAACTGAAAGCGTAGCATAATTGGAATTTTTTCCATTTTGTCTAATTTTTACCTTCACTTTAGCAAATCAATCTGAAAAGCTTTTGACATCATGGCCTGCTATAAGGACAGGGAAGACTTTCCATGCACCTTTTTTTATTTCATTGCTTATTTTCCTATACAATTTGAACACACTATATAAAAACAAGACAAGCAAAAAACTTTTTTGGTCATTTATTTTTTACGAGATTCTGTACAGATGTTACTCGCCGCTGCAAGTTTAGATGATGCCAATCTGGAAACAGAAGAAGACATTAAATTACATGGGGAATTTATTATAAAATACAATAATCAAGCTCTAGTCTAGACAATGAGATATTTACATCACATGTTAACTACACTTTTATTGTTTTTTGTGTGAATCAGTGGTTCCTTTGAATACATCAATGTAATCAGACAAACAAATTTACATCATTTTCACACATTCTAGAAGGTCTTTGCAACACATTTTAGTGTTTCCAATAGTCACGAGAGAAAAAAAAACCCTTAAAAGGTAAACTACAACTGTTCCAATGTATAGTCGAACGTACAAATCTACTTCTCTGCAAGAAATGGAACTGCATTTTACTTAAAACCACCATTAGTCTTAATAGAATTCAATTTCACCAAGGTTGCTCATGTAGCTCACCTTGTTGGCAACATCCAGTGCATCGTAATCGGGAGCAAGACGTACATAGGCTTTCTTCTCACCATCAGGCCTGGGGGGAGGGAGAGAATAATAAAAAAAATTAAATAAAAAGTCAGATGTGAACTGTAGAAACCTTCCCAAAAGCTTGCACTCATTGCCTGTCATGCATCAGTGGTTCCTTTGAAAACATCACTGTTCAGCCAAAATTAAAATTTCCATCACACGCATGGGGCAATTAGTCAGAGATACTTTTTGTGCATCATATTTTGTACCCATGTAGACCTAAACTATCTTACCTTATAAGAGTGTTCACTTTAGCAACATCAATGTCGTAAAGTTTCTTCACTGCCTGTTTGATCTGGTGTTTGTTGGCTTTAACATCAACAATGAAAACCAAAGTATTGTTGTCCTCAATCTTCTTCATGGCTGACTCAGTTGTCAGGGGGAACTTAATGATGGCATAATGGTCAAGCCTAAAAATAAAACACAAGACAATGTTACACCTTTCCACTTCCAAGAGAGTATGACTTAGAACTTAAATAATACAGCTAAAATACATCAAATCAAGGATAAGTTTCAATTAAGATAAGGGACTGATGTGAAGGCCTGGAAATCAACTAATTCCTATGATACATGTGCATCTGAGCAGACAGCCAACACTACCTAGCATAGCAGAGACGAGTGTGTTAGACATCCATCCACTGCAAACCTTTAAAAGTCTAAGTGGAAGAAAGTCTGCTACTATCAAGATTCATTTGACTGAGACACTAGATCATGAGAATGAATACTATAGCAGTCAACCTGGTGTTAAAGGAACACTATAGGATCAAGAACACAAACATGTATTACTGACCCTATAGTGTTAAAATCCCCAATGTAGCCCTCCTAAATGTACTAAAATCTTAGTTTTATTCCATTCTGCTGCTGCTGGTTCTGCTCCTGGTCTGCCTGTTTGGCTGACATCAGAAGTGATTCGGGAACACCTCTTGTAGCCACCTAAGGAGTGTCCAGTGGAGGTATCCCTAGGCTGTAATGTAAACACTGCATTTTCTCAGAAAATACTTTTTTGCAAAAAGCCTGAATGGAAGGATTCTACTCACCAGAACAAATACAAAAAGCTGTAGTTCTAGTGACTATAGTGTCCCTTTAATCTTTAATGGATTTATTAAAAACCAAGATAAGCAACACGAAGATCTCCATGACATAAGTTATTTTGAATTAAACAGTTCATTAATGATTTAATGGAATAAAATCTTTATCAATGCAAGTGTTACACACTACATATTATAAAAGAGAAAATATAGTAATTACATCACATTCTACAAGGCCTCTTAGAACACCAAGATTTAATTCCATTGTGCTTATCCTAACTTTCATATCCCCAAACTCATCTAGGAAACCCACTGCTTGAGCATTCCGACTAAAGCGTTACTCCAACAAGCAACCATTACAGCCTACTGCAATGTTTATGATGGTAGGAGTCTGCCCTCTTACCTGGTCCTCCCAGGAGCTAAGTCTGCTCTGTAGGCAGGTATACAACAACCTGTTACACCTCCGGCAGCAAAGGGTTGAAACTATGTGCATTGTTTCAAAGCTACACATAAAGACTCTAGGCACCATGGCCGCTTCAAATCACTATTAATCATGGTGCTTGAAGTAACCCTTCAACCCCTTAAGGACCAAACTTCTGGAAAAAAATGGAATCATGACATGTCACATGTCATTAAAGGGTTAAAGCAATACATCACACGTGCAAAACTACGGTGTGATTAAGAACTCTCCACCCCCCCTCCTGCCCCCCCCCCAAAAAATACAGCTCACATCAGCGTTCAATTAAAAATAATACTCTATTCCAGCCAAAAAAGGTCAGAAGAGTGGAATGAAAGGTTTCTTGAAGACATCGGCACTCACTATAGCATGTAATACACGGTACAGAAATACTCAGGACAAACTGATAAACCTCCAGTGACACATCAAGGGGACAATATTAAGCTATACATTACCCTATAAAAATAAAATTCGGTTTGCTACACCTATTTTAAATTAATGGGAAGTTAAAGCAATGCAATATTTAATACACAGTAAATTGTCCAAGTACTAGTGTGTGCTACCCATAATCACTAACAAAATTTTTGCCTTTTGTGAATCTTCGGCTCTGTTGCCTCTCCAGCAATTCCTACCATGGGCACATACCCATTAGTTAGATTAACTGCTGTGAATGATCACTCAAGAATATAGAGATATCATGACATGCTCACAATGTCCAACCAACAAGAAGCAACTGTGGCTTAACATGAGTGAATCAATCTGACATGTGGGTTTTACGCAGTACAATGTAGCATTAAAACAAGGGTTTGATAGTTATACTCTGCAATTATTAAAAAGTTTGTCCATGGCATTGAAATGTGAAGAACATCAGTGAAATTTTAATGCAATCACAGAAAATCAGGCTTTGATCGCTTTAAGAAACATCATCTGTAATCAAACATTTCATGCCACATGGATTGGATCACAGTACCTGCCTTGGCAAAAATATCCTTTATAAGATTTACTGCTCATCCTACATCTAAGTAATAAGGTAAAAATTGTTGATTTTGACATACTTGTTCCTTGTGGGAGCACTCTTTCTGGGGTACTTGGGTTGCCTCCTCAATCTCAAGGTTTTAGGCCTCCTGAAGGTAGGTGTTGTGCGGATCTTCTTTTTCTTGTGACTGTGGACTCCTTTTAAAACAGCCTTCTTTGCCTTCAAAGCCTTAGACTTTGCTTCAGTCTTGGCAGGGACAGCTGAGAAATAAGATTAACAATCAGTATTCGAATAGCCCCAATTCATGCTAGCTAATCTCCCGTGCATGGTCTACAACCCACATTATTTAAAGGCAATCATACTATCCAATTAAAAGAATGGACAGATCTTGGTAAAAGGCATATACGCTCCCTCTAAAGTATAGAATTTAATTATCCAGAGTATTTGTGAGGATAAATATTAAAATCAGAAAAAAGCAAGCAAATGTTTAAAAAAAAATAAGGATACTATACTATATTGCAGCAAATTAATTTAAAGCCATACAGAATAGTTTTACAGTACACAAGAAATACTGAGAACAAGCAGTTACATTTCCTTGCCTATAATAGCATATGTATCCAACATTATATAGTTTGACTATGTGCTGAACAGAAAACCCTATAACCATATCCCTTTGACAATCTGAAGGAGAATTTTATTTTTTTCTTTAAACCAGACTGTACAGGGCTATTTACCAACGTGTCAAACCTGGCAATTAATTTTTTAGGCAAAAAAAAATGTTGCCCTGAAATTATAGTCAACTGATATTTATGTGATTACAACTATTGCCAGTTTTTCAGACAGCATTATTTTCCCCTGAATTAGCCCATTTTTCTAGTTCGGTAGAGGGGGTCTGGCAGCAGGCGGGGTGGGGGGACCCCCAGTGCATCAGTCATGATAAGATGGAATCACAGATCTCATACTTTGATCGCTTTAAACATCATGTGCACCGGTTAGTCCCCCCGGCTGCGGCCTACACACAGGGCCCCATGGTCCCCCCTCCCGGGGCAGAGAGAGCTCAGCAGGGCCCCCATGGCCGTTAGGGTCCCCCATGGCCGGTAGCCAATGACTTGCAGTAGCCACAGTGGCTTCCACTAGCCCTCTCCGCCCCGGGAGCCCACGTGTGAGATCCCCGGCTCGGCTGATGCTGAGACCCACGAGGGCCCGCACACCGGCCCGCCCGGACAGGCCCTTCTAAAAACACCGCAGCCGCACCGCGCTAACACGGGGAGCCGCCACGTCCACCCAGAGCACAACCCAGAGCGGCTCGGGCGGCTCCCGCACGGTTAAAGTGCAATAACACCGCCTCGCTCCCTCCGCAGCTCACCTTCCTTCTTCGCCTTGGGAGCCATCTTGGGGGAAAAGGAAGAGAAAGGGGTTTCTCGGGCAATATCACAAGGGCTCGCCACCGGAAACCCGGCGCGGTGTTTCTCGGGAAATGTAGTTTATGGCTAGACGTGAGCGCTGTTTTCATTGGTCGATTCTGTCACGTGGGGGATGGGCGTCACACAGACAGAGCTCAGACAGCTTCAGAGTGATGAGCTGCAGTCAGTGATGGGAAATGGCTCAGCAAAATAATAAATACACAAACTGTTACAAAATGATTGGTATAAGTGATTTTTTGTGATACATTTTCACATTGTATTTGGACACTTTAATTTTTTTATTCCTGTTGGACTAATTTAATTTTCCCCCCTCTTAAGGCATTGTGTTCTTAGGATGCATAATCACTAGAAGTGGAATGGTTAGGGTCTTGAAAAAGGGTATAACCAGAAGGTGGGCCGCACTTTCAATAAACAGACAGCTCCAGTGATGGAAATCGTTAAACGTGCCGGTTTAGTTATACATAATGCAATGTTAAAAACACGGCAAACGGGGCGTGGCTTGGACTCCGGGAGTGATGGCAGCCTAACTCCGGAGCTCCGCACCGCAGGCTCAGCAAAAAGCCCGGCAAACCGCTTACCAACGGCACAGTCCCCCTGCAGCACAGCCAGAGATACGAGGCAGCCGTCCCCACCACCATGTCACACCGGAAGGCGGCGGCAAAAAAGCAGAGAGAGGATAATCCCTCCGTCGCGGACATGCTGGCCGCCATTAAGCGAGCGCCACGTGGGACGCAAGGCACAGAAAGCCCGACGGGCGCGTCCTCTCTGAGCCCCCCAGCTACACCGACATCTCTCTATGGCCACGTTGAGGACCCCCACAGTGCTATACTGCAGTCACTGGAGGAGGTAAAGAGGTACTTGGCAGGGGAGATAGAGCGCACGGCCAGGGAGGTGAAGGCCGAAATCCAGGCCATTGGAGTCAGAACTGAGGCCCTGGAAAGCAGATTGGAGGAGGTAGTGACAGCTCACAATGCCACCACCACGGCCACCAATGCACTTCTGACCAGGGTAGCTGCACTGGAAATAGAGCTAGAAGACAGCTCCAACAGAACAAGGCGCAACAACATGCGCGTACGCGGCTTACCAGAAGAGGTACAAGATGGCGACTTAGAACAAGTAATGGCGGAATGTTTCCGCGCCAGTCTGCCACAGATCCCGGACCACTTATGGCACATCGACAGGATCCACAGAGCACTCCGTGCGAAGGGCCCACAAAATAGTCCACCCAGAGATATAATCATCAGATGGCACTTTTACTCCACAAAGGAAGCCATACTTAAACAGAGCAAAAACCACCAATACTTACAACTTACAAAGGAAAGGAGCTCCAGATCTATCAAGACATCGCCCCAGCCACCCTGGTGAGAAGGAGGGAATGGAAACCCGTTGCGGACCTCGTCAGAGCAAAAGGCCTACGCTTCGCCTGGGGATTCCCCTTTAAAATGCTGATTTTCAACGGCCCGAGACCTACAGTCCTGTTGCCATCCATGGACCCCAGGGGGTCCTTCGTGACCTGGGCATCCAAGTGCCAGATGATCTCACCCTGCCAACAAGAGGCCCCAAGGCACTGGACCTCCTCCCCAGGGACTGGACGAAGCAGAGGCGGCGGAGGCCCGTGATGGAAAGACACACGTCACGGACAGTGGGACACGCAAGTTGCTTTCATTATTGCATGCTGACTTAAAACATTTTTTATTTGGGACACTAACGCTGACATTACAGTTATGACATGGGGGACAGCTGGGGCACGGGGCTCACGGCACTAGGAGACGGGGGAGGGAGGGAAAAGGCAAGGGGATATTTAAAAAAAAAGGGGGGGGTTTAAAAAAAAAACACATACCACCACAGGCACGGGATACCTCGAATACTACGGTATACCCCCACAGCAGGCTTGGGGATGTCTGTCCCTTTCTTGGCCAGGCGCAGGCTAAGCCTGCAGCGGACAGGAGGGAGGCCCCCTACAGCGCGAACCTCAGACAGTATGACCGGTTCTGGGGTCCCAAGAAATACTAGGCTTCCACATGGCATACATAACAAAAACTACTACACAAGGATAAATAAATAAATACATTTAAAAAAAAAAAAGGGGGGGGACCCAATTTATGACGTACTATGGTGCTAGGGGACCTGAAAGGATGATGGGGATGGGAGGGGCAGGGGCCTCATATCCGGAACAGAGGTGAGATAAAGTGAGGAAGGAGGGGGCGAGAGGGCCCACAGAGCAGGGATATGGGGTGCATGCACGGGAGACCCCCCCGGGTAAACTACACCTCCCCTTAGGCGAGGGCTTAGAAGCGCGACCCTACCGCCTAGACAGCAATCCATATAAAGTGAAGGAAATCAAAGGCGGACACAAACCAGAAGTGAGAACCAGATCTGAGGTAGCAAATAGGACATTCAAATTAAAATTCAGGCACCTCCCCCAGAGTTAGATGAACAGCGCATAGTGGACACGCTCCTAAGAGCCCCACGATACGACCACGCAGGACAAGATAGAAAGTTGTCAAGAGCCTGACCACGGTGCTCGTTGGCCGGACACCCGCCCCGCCTGAGACTCCCTCTAGGCGCGGCGAGTGGCCACCCCCGATCGCCTGGCGGACTATAAGACCGGGATGTTAGATCCGAAGAGAAAAAGGATCATGAGGAATTAACCTCAGACACACCTAGGTTATGGTTGTATATGTTATGTTTTTACATTACCAATGCAAGTTTTCTTAACCCTTTTTGTTTCTTTCCCTATCCCTTCCCACACTGCTACCAAGACAAGGTTCCCCCAACAACCACTACGGGGGGGGGCCGCCGGGTCGCGCGCCGCACGCCGGGAGACGCACAGCACTACGAGCTGGCCGCACGCCGAAGCACGAGGTACAACACCACACTACACACAATACAACATGGCACTTAAACCTACATCACTAAACGTCAACGGCCTCAATGTTCTGAATAAACGCAGACTGCTACTGAGAGAGCTACATAGACATAGGGCAGATATAGCGTTCATTCAGGAGACCCACATACCGACCACATCTAAGATACAAATCACAGACCACGCGAGCCTATGCAGCAAGAACACTCCGTAAAACAAGAGGGATAGAGATAGTTATACATAAACGATGTCCACTGGTGATACAGGCCATACAGAGGGACCCGGAAGGCAGGTACATAATAATTACGGGAACAATCAACTCAACTACATACCACCTCATTAATGTATATGCCCCCAACACCCCAGAAGTACCATTCTGGAAGACGCTAGAAACTTTAATAACCTCCCTGACAGGGGGCATACTGATCCTAGGAGGGGACATGAACGCAGCGTCATGTCCCGCGGTTGACCGCAGCGGCAGGGCGGACCAGCCCAGATCGCAGGGTATGGGGGGACAGGACCGCCTTTTTAACAAATTCCTCCAGAGCACGGGGCTATTGGACCCCTGGAGACTGCAGCACCCGAGCACGCTTGATTATACCCACTACTCAGCAGTACACTCCACATACTCTCGAATAGACCTATTCCTCACAAACCAGCAAGGCATGAGATGGGTTGAGACGACAGCAATTAACCAAATATCGTGGCCAGACCACGCTGACTTCACACTAACCCTGAAGACACCAGGACCACAGACCCCGGGGAGCTGGAGACTAAATAACTCCCTTCTTAAAAACCCAGAGGTCCTGGGGGAGCTTCAGACTGAAATAACCAATTACTTTCAGCTAAATGCCACTGAGGACTTATCCTCGACCACAATATGGGCGGCCCATAAGGCAGTTCTCAGGGGGACCATAATAAAAATAGCGACTTACCTTAAAAAACAAAAATTAGCCAAGCTCACAGAACTGCAGACAGCACTGCGCACAAAGGAAATGCAACATAAACAGAATCCAACACAGAACAAGTTAGACGAAATACAGAATATCAGATGTACCCTGAGGGACCTCCTCTTGGACGAGGTGAGTAGGGATCTCACCCGTTCGAGAAGACTCTTCTATGAGAAGTCCAACAAGATGGACACATTGTTAGCTAGGGCCCTCGGACCCAAACAAAAACACAAGCACATTACGTCCGTCTCCAACGACAGGGGCCAAACCCTTACATCCCCACAGGCAATTGCAGAGGAATTCACAAACTTTTTGCAAAAACTATATAACCACTCGTCCAGACTGGATGGCACGAACAGGGAACATGTAGAGGAAGTGGTGAGATTGCTGGAGGGGGTAAACCTCCCCAGGCCCACTAGGGAAGATGTAATTGAACTGCAGGCACCCATCACAATAGAGGAGGTGGAAAAAGGGCTATAGGGGCAATAGAGGGCAATAGAGCTCCGGGTCCAGATGGATTCGATGGGGTCTATTATAAAACACTACGGGCAGAACTGGTACCACACCTGACAGCAATGTACCAGGAATGGATGGAAGGGGGACGACCCAACGCGGAGCTGGCCACGGCGGCGGTGATACTAATCCCAAAGCCGGGGCGTGACGAAACGACAGTAACTAATTACCGCCCCATTTCCCTAATCAATGTTGACACTAAAATATACGCTAAAATCCTGGCCACCAGACTGGGACATATTCTGCGCAGATTGGTTCATGCGGACCAGGTGGGCTTTGTACCAACCAGGCAACTCTACGAAAACACCCGGCGGGCGGTGGACCTGATCTGGTGGACCGGGCAGACTCGAACGCCTTCTCTGGTCCTTTCGTTGGACGCAGAGAAGGCCTTCGACAGGATCCAATGGCATTATTTGTTCGCCCTCTTGCGCCATATCGGCCTACCAGACAACTACATTACAGCGTTTAGAGCATTATATACAAATCCACAGGCTCAGATTGCCATACCAGGAGCGACCCCAAAACCATTCAAACTAAGCAATGGCACACGACAGGGCTGCCCGCTCTCGCCACTTCTCTTTATATTGGCCCTAGAACCCCTCCTGCACAAGATCAGGGAACACCCCAAAATAACAGGACTGACAGTAGCCACAGAACAATTTAAGGTATCCCCATACGCGGATGATATCCTACTAACACTCACAGATGTGAAAAGCTCCCTCCCGAACCTGATCCACCTATTGGGG